GAGAGAGAGAGAGAGAGAGAGAGAGAGAGAGAGAGAGAGAAAGCTGCAGGTGGTGACTGGAGGCTTAATGAAAGGGCCAGTTGTTTTGAGGAGCTGATTTTGCAGAGAGCAGATGGATCAGTCTCTCGGTCTCTCCGGTTTCAATCTTGTCCCACATTGCTGCCGTCGCCCCATTTAACAGCCAATTTCCAGCCACACATACATGCGTGCGCACACACACACACACACGAARAGAAAGCAACAAAACGCTCTGAGGAAGTGAACCACAAAGACACACAAAGGGAGAAAGAAGGTAAAAAAGAGAAGCATACTGTATAATCCAACAAATGCAGCCAGACACAGTAAATGACAGAGACATGAACATCCTTTGTAGACAAATATGTTTTAGAATATTTAAGCACATAAATGATAAAAAATACACATCCAGACACAGTTAACTCCTTTGGGTAAGTACTGCTGGAGACTATGCCGTTTTTAATGAGCTTACTCCAGATGTCTTCCCCAGTTGCAGCACATGAATGGTTGATTAATCAAGTAGCTTTTCTTCAAACACTGACACACACACACACACACACATCTGAATTTATCACACAAACACAGCAATCTCACTTTATCACAAACAGAAATCCCAAATGACCATGCAAACGCACACACACACCATTTCCTCCCTGTATTGATTTACTGTTCTCCCACACACAGTTACTGAACTCTAATATTTTCTGACAGAGCATATTTTCATGTGTACCAACACCTGAATGATTCACTCCTAAGATCAACTCATTTTGATTTTGCACGCTTTCACACCAACACACAGACCCACTGCTGGCTCCGACCCTGCAAACGATACACACATATGAATATACCCCCCAAACTTACTTCTAACAAGCGATAGTGGGAAACTTTTGGCCTCTGAAAAAAAAATAAAAACCCTTTGATTTTTAATCTTCACACTTGGTAAAGGCATGAAATTACCTTGGGACTCTTTTTCTCTGCCTTACCACTTCAGCCCACACTCTTTTTCATGTGATATTGCTGGCAGGTCAATGGAAAATGACATTTCACTGGTGGGAGAAATTTATTTTGCTGGACAAAGACTTCAGAGTCCATGCAGCAAAGGTGCAACAACCATATAAAGGAAGAACAAATGTCACAATATATGGTTTTTATTTTTATATCTAATGCATGTGATTGTTGTGTCTGTGTGGACAAAAGTTTAACCTGAGCTAAACAATAAAGATATTACTGAACTGTTGCACTGTTTATACAGTGTATGTACAGTGGTTTGCAAAAGTATTCATACCCCTTGAACTTTTCCATATTTTGTCACATTACAACCACAAACATAAATATATTTCACT